GGCGGGTGCCTTAGCCACTTGAGCCACAGGCGCCAAGCCATCGTACATTAATTTTCTTAAGATTGATACTCCTCCTAGATCTCATTTTCTGGCTTGAGCCACAAGCACCAAGCCGCAACCTCCAACTCTTAAGGGCTCAAGTGATCCTCCTGTCTCAGCCTCCCAAGGAACTGGGACTACAGACACCCTCACAACACCCAGCTAGTTTTTCTATTTTTAGTTCAGATGGGGACTTGTTCTTGCTCAGGCTGGTGTCAAACTCCTGAGTTTAAGTGATCCATCTGCCTCAGCCACCCAGAGTGCTAGGATTACAGGCGTGAGCCACTGCACCAAAGTAACCTTCTTATAACATGCAAATCAAGGTCAGTAATTCCTGTCTTCCCCACACTAGGGTGACCAGATGTCCCACTTTTGGCAGGACAGTCCTGATTTTTAACAATTTGTCCTGTGTCCTGCAGTGTTTTAAAAAAGTCCCAATTTTTGGAAAGAATGCATGAACAGGCAGGAGAACAGGAAGGGAATATACAGTTTTTGGCTGCCATGTGGCTATTTCGCCAGGATATGAGTTTTATATTCTTTTTGTAAATTTTATAATGTTAAACTGTAATAATAACAAATAATTGTTGAGAAGTGATTATCAAGAACTGCTTATCAAAGTTTGCATTGTTGTCAGGCCCTGCCCTGCCTCCACCCCACCCCATGTTGTCCCCCTTTACCAATGTTAAAATCTGGTCACCCTACCCCACACCCATGACATGTCCATTTTCATCACCAGAGCCAAGAACGTCTCTCAGCAGCGGGGTGTAGGAGACAAACGTACAAGGGCGAACTCACCTCCCTGACTTTCTCAATAGCACTGGTGAAGATGTAAATGATAACAAGCCACTCTTGCACGCTGGGCTGGGACCGCATCTCCACCAGCACCGTGTAAGTGAACAGCATGAGGAATGCCAAATATGCCATCTGCAAGGGAAATATACATTCCCCGGGGGGCGGGGGGGAGAGTGAGCGTGGAGGCCTCCAAGCAGATGCAGACCCAGACACACAGGCACGAAAGTCAACATGGTGACATGAACAGAGAACGGGGACCACCTTGGGATTATTCAGGATCCAGTATGTAACAACACACCAAACATCCTCGGTTTTCTAGTCTAGGATTTAGTGATGGAAACGAAAAATCACTGTTCTCAGACACACGAAGGAGAGACTGTCTCATCTAACTGGCTTCTAACCAGAACCTCCAGAACCCTGCACAGTCTAGGACTGACACTGTCAGGCCAACAGCAAGCCAGGGGAGAGCCAACATGTCCATCTCTAATGCAGGAAAGACATGTGCAGAGTGGGCCGAGTGAGCGAAGCGTTATCACTAGATGGGTATTTTCTTTGTTTTTTTTATTGAATCATAGTTGTGTACATTAATACTTTCATGGGGTACAGTGTGCTATTTTTATATGCAATTTGAAATATTTTCATCAAACTGGTTAACATAGCCATCATGTCATTTTCTTAGTTATTGTGTTAAGACATAACTTTCTATATTCTTCATTTAGAAAGATTCACATGTACCCTTATAAGATGAACCACAGGCGTGATCCCATCAATCTCCCTCCCTCCACCCAGCCTCCCCCTCCGCTCCCCTCCCTCTCCCCTTTCCCCATATTCTTAGATGTGCATTTTCAAATTTGGTGAATTGAGATGTTTACAACTGCTGGGAGTTTTATTTCATGTTGGTTAAAATATTTTGATTAATAGGAAAATTATGCCCAACTGGTAAGCCCTTATAATTAAAGGCTGTTTGTTAACATTTTTATTCATATCATCAGGCCTTATCAATCCACCTGACATGACATTCAATAAATGTTTATTTAATAGTTCTGCATATTATACCTGGATTCTTAAACTCTTCAAAGAATTAAACATAGTGAACACACGTATGTATATAGAGTGAATAACAGTTTTGTCATCTTATCTAATGGTCTTATCTTCTTAACACATATTCTCAGAAGCAGAATAGCTGTGCACACGCATTAAAATCTGTGGTACATGTTACTAAGTTACCCATCACACAGGTTTTCCAGCTATCCCACACTATCACCAACAATGCATGAGACTGTGTTGTCCCTTAAACAACTTCAGAGACAACACACAGTGCTCTCTAATCACTATTGCATTAAAAATCCTTTATCAATTGTTTGAGAAATGTGGGTCGGTGTTCATCTTCACAAGAATCGTACTATCACCCTGATCCCTATGTCTCATAGCCTTTTGAATTCTGAGTCGACCAGTCTAAGTCTAGTTCTGCACAGAAGTCGTAGAGAATGGTTTAAATCATTTCTGATTCTACAAGAGTGGTGCATGTATTACTTACAATGGGTGGTATCTAGGGCAGTCCTAATGGGTAGTACCACCTATGAGTTAAGATTAACTATAGAAGCATATGAGAAAGTCAAGATGAATTTCATTAACTCTGTGTACTTCTCTTGATCGATGTTTCAAAGTCTGAGTATTTGTGATGACACATTAGGGACATCATTTAAATTAATTTGTTTAAACAGTCGTTTGCTTCTGACATTTTTGTCATTGGTTTCATGGTGGCCACATAATTGACTCCTTAACACTTACCGTAAGGTCTAAAGGACCTTCATTCATTTGTGGGTATTTCTTTCCTTTTTTTTTTTGGAGACAGAGCCTCAGGCTGTCCCCCTGGGTAGAGTGCTGTGGCATCACAGCTCACAGCAACCTACAACTCCTGGACTCAAGCAAGTCTCCTGCCCCAGCCTCCCAAGTAGCTGGGACCACAGGCACCCGCCACAACACCTGGCTATTTTTTGGTTGCAACCGTCATTGTTTGGTGGGCCCGGGCTGAATTCAAACCTGCCACCTTAGGTGTATGTGGCTGGCACCTTAGCCACTTCAGCCCCAGGCGCCGAGCCAGGTATTTCTTTCATTATCTGCATTTTTTTATTCCCTATTCTATATTAATGAGAGTCATTTCCATACACAGTCTCTCCTATCTGACATAAGCTGTTTGAGGACAGTATCTGTGTTTGCCACTTTCTTCTTTCCACCCCACCTCAAGTGCCTCTTAGAGCGGGTCTTAGAGACAGCAGTCAGCTTGCGTAAGACCTCATTGAGTGGTCTGGACCTTATGTTACCTTCAGCCATAATGCTTTCTTTAACACATGTAATGTATGACTATAGGAATGAGACAGATCTAGAAACAAAAAGACTACGAACAATGACAACTACACCCAAAAAAATAGCTGGGCACTGTGGCAGGCACCTGTAGTCCCAGCTCCTTGGGAGGCTGAGGCAAGAGAATCACTCAAGCCCAAGAGTGTGAGGTTGCTGTGAGCTGTGATGCCACAGCACTCTCCTAAGGGCAACATAGTGAGACTCTGTCTCAAAAAATAAATAAATAAATAAAATAATAAAGCACATACACCATGGTCTGGCAATGCAATACCCAGGCCTATGCTCCTTGCTGATGCCACCTACTATGATAGGCAGACTGTCTGACTTTGTCCTTTGGCTCAGCCTGCTGCTGTCTCGAAAAGCTCTTGAGCTAGAAGTTTCTAAGGAAAGGAACACTTGAATACTCTTTTCCAAATGATGTGACTAGGATTAAAATTCTTTTAGCACTTCCTTCAGAGTCTCTGGAATACTTTGTTACAGATTCACAGAAAATAGTAAAACCTCCTCATTTAAAAGGAGAGTTGATTTTTGGAAACAGATCAAAGTTATTCAGAGCTATGTACTTATTCAATGAGTATATGAAATAAGTCTGTGGTTGCCCGAGTAAATATTTTGAAATATAACACATTCAGAAAAATATCCTTTTACAGTTACATTTCAAATGTTTTAGACATACACGATCTTGGCCATGCACAATTTAAGTATAGAAAGCATCAGAAAAATAAATGCTATAAAAGAAATGTAAAAAACTCCAAATACAAGTAAACTACAGCTCACGCCTTCTGTGTAGTTCTATGATCCATCCTACGGCACTTGTTCCTACAATTCAGCTGCTAACATTTTTCCTGCCCTCTATGTGTTTATTAAGTGTATGCTCCTAGAGACCAAAACAGACATTTGCATTTTTTTTAATCTATATAACACGAGGCCTACAAAGAAAACGATGATCTGGGGGTGGAAGAAACTGCTGATTTTCTTGCTCCAGATTGGAAAATAATCCACTCACCTGTCACTTTATTCTATCAACACTGCTGTTAATTTTATTATTCCATGAATCTGCAAATGCTTAGTGTTAGCGATGCCAACTCTAGCGCTCCAAGAAAGAAGAAAAGGTTTGTTCTCCAACTCTGAAAGTAGGAGAGCTCCACTCTAACTTCCTCTAGCCTTCCCACCATCCTGTCTCTTGGACCTACTTTTTCATGCCCTCACTTTTTATACTACACTGCAATATTTTCATGGCAAAATTCAGCAAATCACGCATATCATTATCAATGTTACTGTGAGCTATCAACCGCCATGAAGGCTGTATGTACAGTAATGAGACCTACCGTATAAAACCAAAACTTGACGATGGGAGCATTGTAGAACTCGTAGACCTTTCTCGTCCAGGGGATGCTCTGGTGCCCAGTCTCTAAATCAAAGGGCTGATTCTCATCCGCCTTCTCATTGGGACCCCTTTCCAAGTCATAGTTTCTCTATAAAATAAACAAGCATATCATCATCTTTTTGTCAGCAGGTTAATTAAAATATCGATAGGCACAGACATCCAAAAATCTAATATAATACGTTAGAAATCAACTGGGTACTGACTTGCCAAATGATAATCTTAGCTTTAAAAACAAAGAAAACTGTATGGACCATACAAATTTTTGACCAGGTAAGCAGCAGACGATATTTCTTTCTTTCTTTTTTTTTTTTTTTTTTAATAGTTTTTTGGCTGGGCCTGGGTTTGAACCCACCACCTCTGGTATATGGGGCGGACACCCTACTCCTTTGAGCCACAGGCACCGCCTTAGCAGACAGTATTTCTGACATGTAATCTGAGTCCCAAGTAATCAAGCCCCCGAAAAAGTAATTCAAAGGATTTAAAAATGGTCCCTGTTTCTGTTCTGTTTAAATCTCCTCTCACAGTAATTTAGGAGCCCAAGGATATTCATAAAATCCCTGTGAACTCAATAGTGGATGATACAATTATTTCCTTAATACAGGAGGACAAAGCCAACTTTCAACCACAGGAAGGTCAGTGGACAGTTAGGCCTGGCTTTCGTTTCAGGAGTCTGGCTTTCGATAGCTTCCCAACTTATAGCAGAGGGTTGCTTTGCCTGAAGTTCACGGGCTCTCTGAGCTTCTGCAGTTCCTTGAACATCCTTCAACCACGTGCAGGTATTTGTACTGAATGTGCATTTTCCTAGGGAAAGAGCCGGATCTTTCTTCAGCTTCTCCAAGGTTATGTATCAGTCCAAAAGTGTTAACCCTTGCTAGTAAAGAACAACGAGTATGTGTGTGGCAGCACAAGAGTTGGCTGAATGTAACCACACAAATGCCCACAAAGAAAGTCCTTCAACAAGAGGAAAAAAGGAGATGGAAAGTAGGTCTTTCCATCTGGTCTTTTTGAGAAGGGGGAACACTATGGATATAAGACTGGTGGAAAGGAAGCCAAAGAGGTGTCACTCTGTTTTATAAATTTATGTGTCTTTAAGTTTTAATGGGAAATGCATTCATGGTACGCTTTTTTAAAAGACATATTAAAAGAAAAGAAAGGAATGTTCTCTGCTCAAATGGGTCCATTCTCCATTCTTCAACCCAATCACAAAAGTTCTCTCCCTGGGTTTAAAACATCAGGTTTAGCAAGATGTTTTCAAGCCAAAGAATGAATCAAATTTTGCTTGAAATGTCTAATTATAGAAAAATGTGATTTTTTTTTTTTGAGGCCTCAGGCATCTAAATAGGTTATCATCAATCAGTGCCTGATTAATTGTTCCATTATTTATTTAACTTTGGACAGTGAGCTTGGAGTTGTGACTTAGAAATGCAGGAACTGGTCCAGTTCCTAACAGGTTTGAACCAGCCTAGAGTTAAATGGCTTAAAACCAATTAGAAAAGTCAAAATTTACCGAGAATTTAATAATGTCAATACCACTTCAGAAAGACACAGAAAGTAATTTAAATAACATAACTTGTTACTTTTTTCTAGTAGTGTTTCATCAGGCCTTAATTACTCTTGACAGGTTGATACGGATTACAAAGTATTGACTGAGCCCGTCTCTGAGTTGAATTCAAAGATAACAACTGCTACGATGAAGGCAATGTAGCAATATAAAATCAGACTCAGTATTTCTTTCTTTTTCTTAGAAGGTAAGAACAAAAATACTTGGCTTAGCTAACATATATTGTACTGAAACCTCTCTCTCCTCTATCTTTGCTTCCCTCTCCTCTCCTCGCTTTCTTTCTCTCTAACAAATAATAATCTGATACCAACAGGTACCTAGAATGAAATTATAATTACAACCACCAACTCCACTATAATCCAGGCCTATTTTCCATTGCATTACAGTCATTTCTCCTGGTTAGTGATGCTCCTGCAGAACAGAGTTTTTTTCATTGTGACTTGCTACCTGCCTAAGACCAAGGTCATCTTTCCCCTTCCAGACCTGCTCCTTTCCCAGTTGTGCCTCTGTCCCTTCGACGGCCTTGTTTTACCCACCACCTCTCCATTGTACGTGCTCTCTCCCTCCTGCTTATAGCCTGTATTCAAGCCCCATGTGACTCTTCACTTAAAATATGGCTTTTCGGCTCAGTGCCTATGGCTCAAGCAGCTAAGATGCCAGCCACATACACCTAAGGTGGCAGGTTCGAATCCAGCCCTGGCCATTAAACAACAATGATGGCTACAACCAAAAAATAGCCAGGCATTGTGGTGGACACCTGTGGTTCCAGCTACTTGGGAGGCTGAGGCAGGAGACTCACTTGAGCCCAGGAGTTGGAGGCTGCTGTGAGCGTGATGCCATGGCACTCTACCCAGGGGGACAGCTTGAGGCTCTGATTCAAATATATAAAACTGGGCTAGCGAAGTCATTCCGTTTGTGATTGTATTAGATGATACAGTTGCTGAGTTGAGACTTTCTAAACCTTTTTTAAGGAAAGAGAAGAAACACAGCATTGACTTAATCTTTTTAGAAGTGGGATGTAATGTTTCTATGTGCCTGGCTGGCTTTGTGTTTATTTAAAATGGCTCACATTAAGTTTAGTTTGCTTGTTGGAGTCCATGGTGAGTCCATATAGCTTTTCTAGGCTGGGCACAGTGACTCATGCCTGTATCCCTAGCACACTGGGAGGATCTCTTGAGCTCAAGAGCAAGACTCTGTCTCTAAAAAATAGAAAAACTAGCTAGGCATAGTGACAGGTACCTATAGCTCCAGCTATTCAGGAAGCTAAGGCCAGAGGATTGCTTAAGCCCAAGAGTTTGAGGTTGTTGTAAGCTACTACGCCACAGCACTCTACCCAGAGCAACAGAGTGAGACTCTGTCTCAAAGAAAAAAAAGTTTATATATATATATTTTGTTGTTGTTGTTGTTGTTGTTTTTGTCTTCCTCTCTGTGTCCACCGCTACTGACCCAGGTTAAAGCCTTCATTTGTTGCTTCACACCTGGATGGTTACACTGACCTATGTTCTTCCTTCTTCCAGCCTATCTTCTTGCTAAACACTGGAGGCACAATTATTTACCTAGGAGTCAGATCATCTCACTATCCTGGCAAACGTATTTACCGGTTCCCCATTACCTACATCTTTTTTTTTTTTTTTTAAGATACAGGATTTTGCTCTGTCACCCAGGCTAGAGTGGTATCATCATGGTTCACTACAGCCTCAAGCTCATGGGCTCAAGTGATCCTCCTGCCTCAGCCTCCTAAGTAGCCAGAGAATGCTGGGATTACAGGCATGAGCCATCAGATCTGGCTCATTATCCCTGTAATAAAATCATATACCTTCACAGGATATATAAAAGTCTACATTTAAGCCTCACTTTACTTTCCAAGTCTCACCTGCAAATACTCCCTACTCATCACATATCCCCCATAACCTGGATTCCAGCCAGAGAAAACCAGTGGCCATGTTTTACATATGCCTTGGCACATCCCACTTTATGGCCCTTATAATTTCCCTTCTTGCCGAAATTCTGTTTTCCCTCTTCACATCCTTAAGTCAGAGCTCCAATATCACCTCAACCACAAAGCTGTCACCAATCCTCAAGCCTCACCTACTGGCCCCTAATAGGAAGAGTCTTCTTTCACCTGTTAATCCATTCTGCCATCTTCCTATCATTTATTTTCAAGAAAGCTCATGTCGTCAAAGATTATGCTTTTAAGAGGTTAGCAACTAAAAGATTTAACTTGACATAGCAAAGTTACTTTGACTGTAGAAACTTTAAGAAGCTTTACAAATCTTCACTCCCGCTCAAGAATAACGCCATTCCTTCTGCTGTTACCAGAAGTGCCTTGTTATATGCATTATCACCCGCTATTACCACAATAAACAATGTAAATTACATTCCTCAACTGATCAATCGCACTTACTTAATTAGCAATATGAAATCTCACATATACCACAAAAGTGCTACCCCGCCCCTGACCCCCTACCTAGCAAAATTCTAGAACAGATTTGAAGCACTTTTCAATAAATATTTTAAATCAAAAAATGGTGAGACATTGTGGATATTCTATGTGATTATAATCCCTGTAGTGGCAGAAGCACAGGAATTATAAAAAAGCAGTTAAAGCATTGTCTCCAGAACCTTCTATCTTCTCTGGCACAGGGAAGTGGGCATGAAATACTCATTGAATGAATAAATTGATGTGGCCATATCCAAAAGACCTTGGACATATTGAAGCCAAAATTTAATTTCTCAGGCAATTGTGAGAACTTACTATATTATTAATGTTAATTACCATTAAAGGAGGGAACTCTATCTCTATAGTCTCCCTTTAAGAATGACCAGATAGCAATGCTCCAGCTATCCACAAGGCCTTAAGTGTTGGCAAAAAGTTTAGACGTTTATGAAACTTGTGAAAGCTAACTGTGAAGTTATATCCACTTGAAAATTGTCATTTGTCACCACATGTATAAAACTGCCATGTTATTTGTTACCATGTCTATAAAACCGCCAGAAGGTTTACATATTTGTTTACAGATAAATAAAGGGTGCTTTTCACCATGGACTCCAACAAGCAAACTAAACTTAATGTGAGCCATTTTAAATAAACACAAAGCCAGCCAGGCACATAGAAACATTACATCCCACTTCTAAAAAGATTAAGTCAATGCTGTGTTTCTTCTCTTTCCTTAAAAAAGGTTTAGAAAGTCTCAACTCAGCAACTGTATCATCTAATACAATCACAAACGGAATGACTTCGCTAGCCCAGTTTTGCAAATGATAACTTCTCACACACTCTACAAAGGATAGACTATATCTGCCTTCTTGCATTCTGAGAATAATACCATATAGAACTATCAGATAGAAAAGAGAAGAAGAAAAGGAAAAGAAAACAAAGGAGGGAGGAAAATAGAGAGGGAAGGGAGAGGAAAAGAACAGATAAATACCAAAAACAGGAGTGATAGTCAACACATCTAACAACTGATCTACAGAATGTCAGCAGAGACATTAACTGATCAGAATGGATCTTCAACCAATCACCACAGATACCAGCCTTTAAGCCAGCCTTTAAAAACTAATCATAATTCAGTAGTTTTCACTGAATATTTACTAAATATGTTCTTAAATATTATGACAAGTACCTCAGGCAAGATACTAGGTAAAGATGCTTTGTTGAATTATTAACTACCAGAGCAGATATTTACTTTCCCAATGGTCCAAGGTAGGATAAAAAGCAAAAAGTATATTCACAGCATGTTGGACATTTTTCAGAAGATATAGGCCACAAAAGAAGGAGCTCCTATTATCCATGAAGAGAACATATCTGGAACTCAAATAAAATCATCCACTGAATTTACCAAATGAAAAGACTTATAGAGCAGAACAGTGAAGATCAAGACACATTTAAACCTGCATCTTCATTAAAAAACAGCTTAGAGATATGAGGCATGCCTCATTGTAGTTTTTAGAGGCATAATAAGTCCACTTATTCTACTAATCACAAGAGAAAATAAAAAATAAGGCAGCCATCAATGTAATGAAGTCTTTGATTTTGGCTTTGAAGTAGAAATGGAATATTTTACTTAATTGTCTATGAGGGTTAAATAAGTCTCTCATGCATGTTATGCCTGATCATAGTACAATATGATTAAGGTAATAAAGAGGAGAAGACATACGTTATTGATGAGTGGAAGGCATTTTAGAATAATGATTAACCCCAGAACTGTTATCATTGGCCTGCAATAGTACCAACAGAAGTTTTTGTTTAACAGAAGGATATACAAACTTTAAGGATATATGTTTGTGTGCAATCAATATAATGAAAATTTAATTCACTATGACTTGTACGAACCGCTTGAGTTCTTTCCTTGTAATTGCTGGGGTTCTGGTCACCATAATACCATGAAAACTGGAAGTCTTGGGACTGGGGAATGTGTGACATTTCCGCTTTGCTTTTAAATTCCAAGGTCAAAATGGTGGGTGGCAAAAAAATACTTATAATGATCTGTGAAAACAAAAACAAAGCAAAATAAGTAGTAGGTGTTACACAAGAAGCACTTATTCGAATAAAAAAACTAATAATTTAAGTGTATATAAAATGGCAGAGCCATTACTAATTCAACACACAGCCTGATTGTGTACATATTTTTTGGATCACCTATCTCAGTTCTAGAAATGTCTCCTGAACAAATACTCAAGCATATGTGGAGAAGGATGTTCACTGAAGGGCTATTTGTAAAAGCAAAAAAGTGTCAACCTAAATGTCCATCTAGAGAGGAATAGCCAGTATGTAACAACCAAACAGCGGGACACCACACAACCATAAAACACCCAAGGCGGTGGTTCACTCCTGTAATCCTAACGTGCTGGGAGGCCAAGGCAGAAGGATCACTAGAGGCCAGGAATTCAAGACCAGCCTAGGCAACAGTGAGACCCTGTCTCTACAAAAAAATTAAAAATTAGTCAGGTGTATGCCTGTAGTCCCAGCTACAGAGGAGTGTGAGGAAGGAAGATCCCTTAAGCCCAGGAGTTCAAGATTGCCATGAGCTATGTCATCATAGCCAGGCTAATTTTCTTTTTATTTATTTTTTGTAGAAACAGTGTGTCACTATGTTTCTCAGGCTGGTCTAGAACTCTTGGGCTCAAGCAATCCTCTCACCTTAGCCTCCCCAAAGCACTGAGATTATAGACTCAAGCTACTTCAGATATCCAGAAATATATTATTTTCTAACAAGCATATTGCTTTAGTAATTTTTTTAAACCAGATATTACCACATAAACCACATTATATAAGGGAAATGTGAAAGCACGCCACAGGTCACCTTCTGATTGTTCCATCTCCCACGCTACTCATGTCTCTGCCTGGAAAACCCAAGGAAGGTATAAATCCAGACATCCACGCTTTTACATTACACTGCTATCATCCATGAATTATTGACAGTCCTTCCAACAGAACTCCTGTGTTCAACTTGTATGGCCTTTTGAGATAAAGAGTTTAGAAGATTTGCCAACTGCTCTGTAAATCAACTTGCTGAACGCAAGCTAAATTTTGTCTTAGGATTCTGAGATTCAGTGACCAAAAATAAGATTAAACCCGACTATCATCCATGATTCAGTAAGGTAAACTAAAGTCACATTCTTGTCAACTTTCATTTCTTTTCATAATGAAATGACCTTTTTATCACTTTGTTTCAAAGCTTGATGTCCCGGGAAGATTTTCTGGACTTTCTCCAGTTAACAGGAGTTTGTGTGTTTTCTTTCCAGATATAGAACCCAAAATACATACCCTTCTCCAGGTCTGCAAAAATCATATTTACCACGCACAATAATATTACACAATTAATTCCTAATGCACCTCCTGAAGAGACCTCCCTTTCCGTTGTCTGCGCCCCCTGTAGGACAACAGGCTTACAAAAACAACGTTCCACAACATCAGTTTCCTTTGTCCCAGGGATTGGTTGGAACCTACTACAGGAAAAGCATTTAAATGAGTTCCTCCATCCACATAGCTCTACATCAGCGGCTCTCAACCTGTGGGTCGCAAACGACCCTTTCACAGGGGTCGCCTAAGACCATCCTGCATATCAGATATTTACATGACGATTCATAACAGTAGCAAAATTACAGTTATGAAGTAGCAATGAAAATGATTTTATGGTTAGGAGTCACCACAACACGAGGAACTGTATTAAAGGGCCACAGCATTAGGAAGGTTGAGCACCGCTGCTCTACAGAGTATCTCTGTAATCTCCATTCACTTGGAGTTAACCTTATCAGGACTGTTTACGATTACTTGCAAATGTGTTCCCAAAACTCACAAGCCAAGCACTAATGAACTAGAATCTAGGCAGAAGAAAAATGGTTTGCTGTGGCTCAGAGACACAGGAAATTGCTCATTTTAGTTAGTTTTTTATCTGTTAGTATTCTCATGCTGAGACACATTTCACTAACAAGTCTCATTTACTTTATTTTACAATTATCAGAATTAACGGCATTTAGTAATACCCAAATCTTGCGTCTGTTTATACAGGCGTATGCTTTTAACTTCCTCTAGCCACTGTCCCGAGGGTAGCTCTGTGGTGGACAGCACAGGGACAATTGTCTCCATTTATTAAAAGAAACTGGCAGTGGGAAATGAAGTACCCTTACAGAGTCCTCCAGGACGGTCCCAGCTCGTCTGTGAGAACTGAAGATACTAACTGGCTTTCCGGAAGGAACAGCAGATCCTCCGTAGCTAACGTCCTCCCTACAGTGGCCACCTCCTAAAGCTGACCTAATTTTCAGAGTGGACATGCCCCCCACGTACATACGCACATCAGTACTGCAGGCCTCCTTCCTTCTGTCGATCACCTCCGTATGTTGACCAGTTTGTTACAGTCCCTTGGGTGATCGACTTACAGAGGTCCTACTATCTACATCCTTCTGGAACAAGGAAAAAATGGAAGTCCAGAGGACAAAATTTCACAACACACTTTTGACTCCACAAGGCAAGTATGTTTACCTTTAACCAAGAGTTTTTCCTCATTTTCAGGCGCCCCATCCACATGTCTGTGAGTAGCATTTGGGTACAGGTGTGTGAGACAAAGGGCCTCAGTCCTCCAGACACGGCTAGTTTCAGGCAGGTGGAATTGCTCCAGTTATTGAGCTCATACGTCAACAGCTTCATGGCCATGCGCTCATTCTGCTTGAACGCCTTCTCCAGCACGTCCAGGGCAAGCTGGCCAAACTGGCTGCGGCGACACAGGGCCAGTGGAAAAAACAAAGGCAAGTGAGAGGGCTACATGTTTAGAAACAGAGCATTTTAAAACAGTCTAAAAGACTGAACCTGACACTCCGAAAACACTCATTAATTAGGCTTTACTTACAAACAATGCTCAGGAACAGGACTGTCCTGTCTTTTCCAGAAAGAACAGACCTCTGGGCTTTATACTGTGGCACATGAAATTTAAGTGACTCCCGAGCTATTCCTGGGAAGAGCCCACTCCACCCCTTATGACAAGTTGCATGTTAGGTTGGGGACTGCCTGGGTAAGCCCTAATAAAGAATTTCTTCACAGAAAAGACTGCCCAGAACCAAACTAGCAACTGAGGAAAGTTGGAGAACAAGTTTTTAAAAAGATTTTAAAGACTTTACAGAACAATTAGAATGTTCTGACTCTCACATTCAATCTTTTAGAATGTTTCCAACTGTTCCAAAAGGTTTCTAAAAATGCAAGCCTCTCTCACTGGCCTTTGTTTTCTCCCTTTGCCACCTGAGACAGCCTCAGGTGATTTTCCAAAGGGTTATTTTCTCTAAAAAGCAGACACTGTCATTCTCTGGAATTTTTAAAATCAGAATTACAAATCGGTTTCCATTAGCTCTAGCTTCCCTTCTTTCTTTGCTGCACTAACACTTCGGTAATTTTTTTTTTGAGACAGAGCCTCAAGCTGTCCCCCTGGGTAGAGTGCCGTGGCATTACAGCTCACAGCAACCTCCAACTCCTGGG